GAGGAGCAGAAGGAGGAGGAAGAAGCTCGGAAAGTCAAAAGCGGCATCCGGCAGCTTCGCCTCTTCAGCGCCGAGGAGTGCGCCAAGATCGAAGCTCGGATCGAGGACGTGGTGTCCCGGGCGGAGAAGGGGCTCTACAAGGAGCACACGGTGGACCGGGCACCGCTGCGGAACAAGTATTTTTTTGGGGAGGGCTACACCTACGGGTCTCAGCTGCAGAGACGAGGCCCCGGCCAGGAGCGCCTGTACCCGCGGGGGGAGGTGGACGCCATCCCCGAGTGGGTGCATGACCTGGTGATCAGGAAGCTGGTGGAGCACCGGGTGATTCCAGAGGGCTTTGTGAACAGTGCCGTCATCAACGACTACCAGCCGGGGGGCTGCATTGTCTCCCACGTGGACCCCATCCATATCTTTGAGAGGCCCATCGTCTCCGTCTCCTTCTTCAGCGACTCGGCGCTCTGCTTCGGGTGTAAATTCCAGTTCAAACCCATCAGGGTCTCGGAGCCTGTTCTCTTCCTGCCTGTGAAGAGGGGAAGTGTCACGGTGCTCAGGTAACTCGCCCGCCTTTTCGGGCCTCCGCTAACGTGCCGGGGCTCGGTTGTGTAACGCTAATCACGAGGCACATGGATGCACACCCCGACGGCGGCTCGGGCTTGATCTCACCCGCCTGTAGGCGTGCAGGGTCTCGCTGCGGCGGAAGGGATGAAGGAAGGATCTGGGGGGGTCCTGCCACTGTGGTGGATGGGGATTTGGGTGGGTGATTGATTTTTGGGTGGTGCCCTCTCCGCGGAGCTCGAGGTGAGTCCTGGCGGGAGCGCGGCCACTTGCAGAGCCGAGCTTTGCCGGAGCTCCTGTAAGCGGTTAAAATAACACATCGAGACACAAAATGGATCCTGCGCCCAAGAGCGCTCAGTGCGAGCAGCTGGTTGGGACGGGGCTCCTGGGTCTATTCTTAGCTTGGCCAGTGCCTCCTGACCTGACCTTAAGCACGGAGAGGAGGTGTGAACGGCCTCGTCTTCCCAGTCTGTTAACTGGGAATGCTAAACCCTGCCCTGCCCGACACCGAGACCCGGGTGCAGAGCCCTGCGGGACTGTCGTTTGGAAGCGCGGTGGGTGACAGGCACAAGAAAGGACTTGACGGTGCATTCTTGCAAGTGGGGGAAGAGCTTTGGAGGTGAAATGACCTGCCCAAGGTCACGCAGCCAGTCGGTAGTAAAGCTGGGATTGGCACTGGGAAACGCCTGCTTCCTAATCCCCCTGCCTCCTGGTACGTGCTGGGCAGGCAGAGCAGGCAGGTAAGGGGACAGGCAGGGTGCATGCAGGCTGGTACGGATGGACCCGCCGGCTTCCAGGTCTTGGGGAGGGCGGCTCGAAGCCCTTCGCCAGGGCTGCCTGACTTGGTGAGCACCAGTCAGTCCCTCGTGTCCTGAAGGTCAGAGTGCTCCCTGCCAGGAGCGGGATCGCCCAGACTGCCAGCAGTGCTCTAAGCTACCAGCCATCCTCGTTTGGGGTTTGGGGTTTTTTTTGGACTGGTGAAGGTGCAGGCCGGTTTTCAGGGCTCCCAGGCTGTAACACAATCCCCTGCTTTGGCTTGTAAAGTGATCGCCGCAGGGTTCGGGAAGGAATTTTTTCCCCCCCGCATATGCACAGCCTCACACCGTTGACTAGTGCATCAATAATAAATGCTGAGATCTCGCGTAGCTTTTATCTCGGAAAAGCTGCACAAACATTAACTAATCCTCACTGTACCCCCTGCGTTAGGTAACTTCTGTGGATTAGCGAGGATGAGGGAGGCTGTGGAGGGAAGTGGGAACTTCCCACTGAGGACATTTTCTCATTCTCTGGTGGATTGGCCGGGGCAGGGAGGGTGCAGAGGGGGGCCAGAGGTCAGGGTGATTTTGTGAAACAGGACCGGGAGGGACCCATCCTGCCACATGTCTTTTTACCGCAGAGCAAGCTCCGTCCCCAGGGATGGAGACTGGCAGGTGCGAGGCAGCTTCTCGGCACTCTGACTTCTCCGCTCAGACATGAGGAGCGAAACTTTCTACCCTAATTTTCCTGCTGGTGATGCGAACCCCTGTGCTGCCTTTCCCTCGAGGGGCTGGAGTAAATAGCTGTCCTTCCTTTCACAGCCAGGGTATTAGATGTGGTGGCTGACTTGTGGCTGATGGGTGCTTTTTTTTTTTTTTTTTTAGGACAGTGAGAGTTTTTTGTTGCTTAGAGCATGCTGGCAGAGCCGTTAATACGGGGTCAGTGTGTAGTCTTGTAGTCAAAGCCACTAGGAAAACTTCCATGAAGTGGAGGATGGTGGGAGGAGGGAGAAGTGCTTTTCTTTGCTCCAGGACCAGAGAATGATGTTTTCTTGTCCCGGACTCTCTCCTCCCAAAACTGCTGGGAAGAGGCAGCTGGCTGAGGGCTCCCAGAGTTGGAGCCGGGTGTCTCCCAGGTCTGTGCCCTTGGATTGGTGGCCAGCATCACCTGGGTGCCCTAATCAGTTTATTAAGGTGGCTGAAGCAATCAAAGGAAGACACAGATATCTTTTAACTCTGACTAGAAGGGTTGGTTTCTGACTGACCCAAGCTGGTGTTAGATGTTGTGCTTTCCAGCAAATAATAGACTTTAAAAAGGGGGATTATTTCAATTTCAGTACAGCAGTTAGCAGATACTTAACACTCACTTAAGAGAGATTCTGCCAAAGTGATTGTTCAGTGATGATATGATCCTGGCTGGATGCAAGTTCCTCGACTCTGGTAGATCTCCTGTCTCCCCTCTAACCCCAGCAATTTGAGGGGAGCAGGGAGAGGTGCAGACTGTCCGTAGGCTCTCAGGGGTGTATCTCCGAAATCCAGCCCTTGGTCATGTTTAAGTCAACTCCCCAAACTTGGCTTTTTCTCCTCTCAGTAAACAGTTGCTGAAGGCAGTTGCCCTGGAGATAGGGAAACGGCGCAGATAGAAATGGCATGCTTGTAATGTCTGTGATTCAAATATTGCTGGGTCAGTGGCTGCTGCTGGCATGCCGCCTTTCTGGGGAAGCCAGGGTAGCCGTGTGCGTTTGCTTACCATGTGGAAACTGTGAGGATCTAAAGAAAGCTGTTGGATATCTCTCTTTGCCTCCACATCGTTCTCGGGCTGTCCCCAGATCACACCTGTCCTGTTCTTGCTCTCAGTGGCCTATTCTAAATTTTCCTCCTGATTTTGTAGCCACCTGCCTGTCAGGGAGTCTGCAGAGGGGCTTTCCCTCCCTTGACTCTATTTGCCTACTGTGAAGCAGGCTGTGGTGTTTGCAAACACTGAGCCTACCTCAAACTCACTGGAAAATATTCAGACCTCAAAGGACAGGTTAGTGTCTAAAAGGTGGAATGGAGATTCTCCTGGCTGGACCATGCACCTCTGCCAGCAGGACGAAGGCCGAGCCACCCTGCCACCTGCTAATGAGCCCTTTGCTTCTCCAGCAAGGCGCTTTTTTTTCTCCTTTTGCATCTGCGGTGAAGATTTGCCCTTCTGGCTTCTGACATCTAGAAGAAGACCTTCTCCAGTCCCCTCTTCTCCCGTTTTTTTTTCCTGTAGGTTTCTACGTGTCCCGGCAAGGCCGAGAGGAAGCGGCAGCAGCGCCTCGGTCGGTGCTGCTCTTCTCAGGCAGTTGGAGTTAAGCTGGATTTCAGTCCTGTGGACCATCAGCTGTCTGTTGGGGACTGCTGGCTGGACCACATTTGTGGGTTTTCTTTTTTTTTTTTTTTTTTTTTAAATAATTTGATAAGCATCAATCGATAGAAGCAGTGGAGAGGAGATGGAGGAGTTTGCCTGTTCATCTGGGGAACACGTGCTTTGACAAATGTTTAGGCTGGAAGAAAGGGAGAGAGCTGGGGGGTGCGGAGCCAGCCAGACCCCTGTGCTGCACCGTGCCTCGCAGCCGCTGTCATAGGTAGCAAATCTCAGCACCAAGCCGGCTTTTGTTAAACTGACGGGTGTTGCGTCTCAGCAGTGTGGCTGGAAATAGTGCAGTTGCAGTTGACCAGAGGAATAAATGACCAAAGGTAACATTTCCTGAGTTCTGAGGGCTTGTATGCTGTATGGGCTTCCCTTCTGCAGCTAATGGGTGCTCCAGGTTGTCTCCCTGCTGTTTGTAATAGCAGTAGAAACATCATGATGTTCGTCTCTTCTGTTGTCGTGAGGCATGCCTGGTGATAGCATAATCGGAGCTGGTTGGAGTCTCTGGAGGATGAACCTGCTTTCTTCCCAGCTGGAGGAATCTCTGGATTTAGTGCTTTTCCAGAAAAGTCTGATCCCTCAGAGCAGGCCGTTGGTGCAGAGGAAGTTATGCGTGTGCCAGCAGTGATGAGGCAAATAGATTTGTTCAAGCTCTGCTTGAACTGGTCGGTGTCACATCCGTGGTTTGTGGCAGCAGTTTTCCTGAACCACAAGTAAAGCCTCGAGCTGCTCAAACCCTGCAACGGGCTGGTGTGTGAGGTCCCTCTGCCTGCCTGCGAGCTGGCCTGGCTGTCGTCAACCCCTAGAAATATTTCTTGTTAGAGACTCTGCGGAACTTCAGGGCCTCCTTTCTGGTGATGTTTGTACAAAAAAATCTGCTTTCATCTCCATGTGAATCAGTCATGTTGTGGCTCTGCAGGAGCTCTTCTGCACTGAGAGAGACTCGGGGAGGAGTTGGGGCTGTAAGATCTGACAGGTTAGTTAAGAGTTGGGGTGTTAGTTAGGGAAGCATGTGGATAGTGTCTGCACTGCCCCGTGTTCTTCTAGAAAACGCTGTAGGCTGGAGACGTCATGCTCGGGTGTTCTCGTGGGCAGCAGTTTGGGGTTTTCCTTACCAAGTTGTCTCTTGCCTCGTGCTTTACATTTGTTCTCTGGGCAAGAAATCTCTGGGTAGACTCTTGATGATATTACGGGTGTTTTGTTCCAGCATCTGCTCCTTCACCCATCGTCAGGGTGCGGCAGTGGATGAGAAGTCATGCTGGCACAAAGCAGAACAAGTGTGAGACAACCAAATAATCTTTTTCTTCCATTTCTCTGCCTGGTGCCTGTGTGAACCCCTTTGCTGGAGGCCCATGCAGAGACACACCATCACTGTATCTGCTGTGGTGCAAGCTGAGTTTTCCCACAGCAACATGGCACTGGAGCAGACTGGTGGGTCCCCGTTAGGGCCTCAGACTGGAGCACTGGGGCTGTTGCTTTGGTGCTGCCCACGTGTGTCTGGGACCACGAGCTCTGCCTGGCACCACTCAAAGTGAGCTGGTTCCTGCCTGGGGAGTGAGAGCAGGCGGCCAGGCTGACATCTCACGACGGAGGGCGCAGGTCTGGAAGCAGACCTTTTCCTGATGTTCAGGGCGTCGCTGAGGATGTGCTGAGTTGAATGTTAACGTGGGTGATATTAATGAATTCGCTGGAGCTTGACGCAGAGATTCCTGGAACATAATAGAGCATCATTATAAGCCCCTTCACATAACGCTGTCTTGTTCTGCAATGCCCTGGAGGACAGGGGGGATGGACATCAACCCCTGTTTTAACTGATCAGGTTTTAGAGTCTTAACTCTCTTCTCAAAGCAGTAAATCCATCTTTGGGAGGTGTACATTTCTTGGTGAGTGGGTGGGTTATCTAACTAGATAAAGGAAACCCGGTCCCGTCCCCAGAGAAGACCTGCATGTACGTGATCTGTTCTCTGCTCTGAGCGTCCTGAATAACCTGGAAGCCGATGACCCCGGCCGTGCTCCTGGAGGGCCAGCTGACAGCCGACGTGGCAGCAGCCTCACTGTAAAGCCTCGTGGGGAGAGTGGGCTCGGCGATTTCTGCTTCAGGTTAAACTAGGGTTGGGGTATGCTAGCTTTGCGTGGCGTGAGGAGCCTTCACCCAAGTCCCTTCAAAGGTCTTCCTGTCCGTGCCAGCCATTTCAGGAGACTCTGAAAGTGTTTACTTTCTCTTTTCCCCGTATCGGACTCTGGAAGGCTCTTTTGTGAGCAGACACTCTCCAAGCAGCAGGTAGAGGGCAGGGCCACCTCTCGGACCTGCTTGTTAGCACTCATGTGGGTGATGAGTTACGCTCCTGGCAGAGTGGTTTGTGCGTCCAAGCAGACGTGATGGCCCACCGTGATCTCACGTGCTGCGCTGGACCCCAGGACTTGTGCTGAACAGCTGAAGCAGCCACAAGAAAACCCACTCCTGTGTGCTGCGGGTAGCTGCGGGCCTTGTTGGCCATGGCTGCTCTCCTGCCCGCTGGAAATGTGGAGCGGGTGAAGTCACCTCATACAGTGAAACACTCCTGCCGAGAACGGCTGCCGTGTGGCCATGTAGCTGCTTGAGCCAGGTGTAACTTTCCTTGGCCCAGGTATCTGTCTCGCCTTGTGAGCCCTGCGGCCGGGAGGATTTAGGAGTGCAGCTTGGTTTGCGGGTCTGAATTTGAAGGTTACGCCATGTGCGTTGTGTTGGGGCTGGGCTGTGCTGGGGGGGCATGTTTGTAGCGTGGCTGAGGATGTGCCACGTGCGGAAAGCGGGGAGGGCGAGGGTGCTGAGATGGCAGCGTCTGTGCCCAGGGGAGGGGGGGCGAGACGCTCGACTCTTCCCACCGCTGCACCCCCTCCTGATGAACAGACCTTCTCATCGACGCGGCTACGCGTTCGTGTCTGGGTATGCTGCGCATCTCGGTCGTAAGAGACGGTTGTTCTCAGGGACGTGCGTGAGAAGATGCTTTGGAGCAATGTGCTGATTTTTTTATTCCTCTGTTGCTCTCTAATTTCTTGATAAATGAATTGGCTGTATTTACATTCCATAGACTCATTTTCTACGTGTCTTATTTCACAATGTTGTGGCAGGTGGCAGTTACCTCTGGTGTATACTAAATATTGAGTTTAAAAAAAAAAAAAAGCCCTGACCTCATTCTTTCCTGAAGTTTCTTCCTATAAGTGTAGCTGCCATGTGTCGGGGGAATGGTGTTGGGAGGAGGAATTCCTGGTGGAAGTCTGGAAATGACTGGCCAAACTGAGTTGTTGTTGTGGCTGGCAACCACTTTCTGCTTCTGCCTGTCATCTTTCTCACAGTGGCTTTTTGTTTTTGTTGTCAGTGGATATGCAGCTGATGAAATTACACACTGTATTCGACCACAGGACATCAAGGAGAGAAGAGCTGTCATCATCCTTCGAAAGTAAGTGTTGAAGTCCTCTGGACAGTAAGATAAACTTGAATGTGGTCTTGTGATAAGGTGCTTTTAAAGAAATGCTTTAAAACTGCCTTGCTTGTTAATTTGCTGGCTTGATCTTACATCTTGATTAGATGTCACTCCGATGCTCACTTGTGTCTTGCCGTACTCGTTGCTTGGCCGGTGGAAGTAGATGGAACTTGTTACTATGGAGTTAATCACTTCTTGGCTCCGTGCGTCGGTACTTCATTGTAATGCCTGGGTTTGCGGGCGCTGTTCGTGTCCAAACACCTGGCTTTCATCGGCTGCCTAACTCCAAACAGCTAGGATTTCAAACTCGTGTTTTGGGCTATGTGTTCAGGTGTCTGATCGTATGATACCCACATGCGTGAGTTACCTGGATGGTCCTTTGAAGCTGATGCTTATGATGAAGAATTTCCTATAAAGCAGAGAGTTTTCTTGGTAGCATGGCTGTCATTTCCTGGGGAGAGGGAGAAAGACGCTGGCTTTGAAGGAAAACGGATGCAGCGAATTTATTGATTGCTTTACAGAGCTTGTCCTTCAAGTTGGTGTTGGAAAGCCAAGCTCTGTAAGCTGTATCGCACGCTTTCTGTTTTAGAAGATGCACTGTCTTGATGGCATGTCATCAACCAGTGCCTGTTCCTAAAGCTCTTAAGAAAATGGAGAAAAAAATAGAAATTAACCCCACCTCAAACTCCCTCAGTATAACCTTGTTTTGTGCCCAGAAATGTCCTCTCTCATCAGCTCCCTTCTGCTAGGAGACCAAAAAAATGTGACTGCCACACATTGACCCATGTTGATTCTGCCTTAGAAGGTATTAGCAGTAATTCCCCTGTCAAGAAATCTTTTTGCAGGTGAAAACACACATGACTTAAGTACTGCAAACCCAGATGAAAGTGTAGGTATTGGTGGCGGGGCTGCAGTTGTGGCCCAGGCTGGCATAAGGCTAGCAAGCAAGAGGTCTAGATGCAGACTTGCTGAGCTTTCGGACAGCTTAGTTGGTTTCGAAACAAGTCTGGCAACGTTGTGAAGATGTGGCACAAAGCCAGTGGAGCGGAGTTGGACATCTGGTTAGAGAGACCCATGAAATGAAGGCAGGAGAAACAGCAGCCCTGAGGCGTTAGCCGGGCAAAATCAGCACAGACCCAGGGAGGCAGGATGAGGTGTGGCAGGTGATAGAGTGGGATGGAAGAAAGATTAGAACCAAACCACCCCGTAGCTGGTTATTGCCACGTGAGGTTTAAGGCGAGAGGGTTGCGATAAGAACTAAACGGCTGTTACGTTCACATTGTTGGTTACTGCAGCCAACGAAAAGCAGTGTGAGTGCTGACGAGCATCTCCAAATCCTGTAGCTGCTTTAGCTGGGCTTTGGGATGGAGAAACTGCCTGTCCTTGGCAGCAGCTCCCTAGAAAAGACAGACTCTGCTAAATAAGCTAAAGCTACCCAAACTGGTGCAGGTGTCTAACGTACTTGTTAAAACTGGCTCTACCTCTTGCTTTTGCCGGCCTCTGTAAGCTAGGGGTGTTGAGTTATTTCAGTCTAGCCTGCATGGCCTCAAAGTACTACTGAGCAAGCACCGATCTGGCTGAGATGTACCCGGCTGACCTGGTGCATCGCTGCTGAGCAGACGAGGCCCGTTAGCTCCTAGCAGAGCCATATCGGCTATGTTTGCTTAGCCATCCTTCTGTAGCAGCGTGTCCTTCTGTCTTCCCCTGATTTTAGGGACTTGACTTGCTTAGCATTAGAGCAGAAGTGTCTCTGCCCAGTCATATGCAGAGAGCCATGGGCTGACTTGACTGGCAGGCTGAATGAAACCACAACAGGATTTTTCTCTTGAGCAAAGTGGAAACCCCCTGGTAATTATTTTTGTGTAATCTCTGTAGAGCTTAGCAGCCCTGGTGAATGCATGGCAATTGCCTGTTTGCCAAAGGGTGCGTTCTGATTGCTGCCAAATAGAGCTTATTAATTGCTGCTTATCCCTTGTGATGGCGGCAGTCTCCTCGCTGAGTCCCGCGTGCGCGCATGCATGCACGGCAGGGCTGTGGTGACCTGTCTGCGCTCGCATCCCCGCGGCATGTGTTGCTGCAGCAAATGCCATTCCCTCGTCCCGGATCATGCGACTTTGTGCGGTCTGAAATAGCGTGTTATGCAACCAGGAAAACAGCTACTTCCTTTGGGTCATGGAACGGCGTAAACTTTGCTGCAGCTCGGAGCTGGGATATTCAGCTCTGAATTAGGCTGCCAGAGCCTGCTGGGTCCCAGACGTTTGAGTCTGGATCTGCTCTTGCCTCTAGTCCCAGCGCGCGGTTCTAGAGACGGGTTTGGCTGGCAGCGGCAGGAGAGCAAAGCTGCGTGAGCTGGAGAAGCGGCTGGGTTTTGCAGGATGCTTGAGAGCGGCGTGGTTACCAAGTAGGTCATAAACACTTCAGTGCTGTAGTGTGATGATATTTACAGTGTTTCCTGTGTATTGGAGTGCAGGACTGCGGGGAGCCAGCAAGGTTTGGAAGTGCTTTGAGCAAGAGGCTTGGGGGGGGAGGAACAGCGCTCTCAATTTCATGAGATGTGGAAAGAAGTGATGTGGGAGGTGGGGATAGAAATGAGACCTATTCAAGCGGGTCTTGAAAGTCATTTTAGAGGGCTTATGCTGCCATTTGTAAGCACTTCTCTGTAAGCAGTTACATTGGGGAGTTACTCTATTTAAGTGAACTTTGGTAGGTAATTTGCTCTCTGTTTTAGTATAGCCTCTCCTCCTACCTGCTCCTGCAGCTCATACCTGCATTGCTCTGCGGACAGAGAGAGCGTGGCTGGTGTTCCCTTGCAGTATATTTGGTGGTTTGGTGGTTTTAATTGCAGGCCTGTAGTTGCTGTTGTATTTGAGAGTTATTTAAACCACCTAACTTGTCTGGGGCAGGTTCCACAATGCCTTTGGTGTTCTGGCTGGACTTGGTCCAGTCCTGGAGCTGAGAACAGCTCAGGACGACGGCGCTGTGGACTAGTGCCGGCTCCAGCCTGGCACCTGCCTGCGGAAGTGTTCCTTGTTTCTGGCATGCCGGGCGCCCTTGGGGTGCCATGCCCAGCTTCGCCTGTGCCAGTCTGGCATCGCCCTGGTTAACCGAAGGGGCTCTCCCCGATGGCGGAGAGGAAGCTTGGCAAGGGGACGTGCTTCCTAACAGGAGTTTAGGTTAGGATTCTCCTGTGGAAACCTCCCTCAGGAGCCTAAAGTTCAGTGCCAGAGAGCAAGTAGTGATTCCCCTTTTTGTTACCCGGACCCCTTTTGTATTCACCTCTAATCCCAAGGAGGGAGACAGGCTGCAGCAACAATATCCGGGTGCCTTTTCTTCTGGGAGGTGGCTTGGATCCTCCTGAAATCGACAGCTCTGGAGCACCGGCACCACCTTTTAGTGTGTTTTACCTATTCTTAGGCTTCAGTCTGCGTTTTGAAATAGACGTTAGCAGCGCTCGTAAGTTGAGACTGGTAACTGTGCTGTGCTTGGAGACAGCGGTAGTGCTGTCATAAGATGCTGCGCCGTCAAGTTTTCACTCCTGCTGCTCGCCCTGCTGCCTCCCTCCACGCGTGCAGCAGGCCAAGCAGCAGTTCCGCTCTGGGACAAGCTGTGCTTGCTCTCCGGTGTAGCTTGAGCATGTGCTGTGCTGCTGGAAGGGATGTGGTGCAGCTTCTGTTTGCTAGACCTTCTCCTGACTCGTACTTCAACTCTTTAAACCTCTTAGTCAAGCTGAGAAATGCCTGACCCCATGAGATCTTGAGACAGTAGGGAGTTTCCAGATAGAAGCAGTTATTACTGTTGTAGGTGATGATGTATTTCACAGGGCATCTCCCAGGTGGTTTAACTGGAGCTGCGAGTTACTGACGAGTCACTGTGATTTCATAGTATTTCACAGGGGCTCCAACACCTCTGCTCTATGTCCCGTAACTGGGATTGCAGTGAGCCCAGCACCATTTGTGTTCACCTTGTGGCTACGTGTGTCCCTGAGCCTTCCTCTTCCCTCTGTTGAAGACAGCAAAGGTTAAAGCTGAAGCTGCAAGTACCAGAAAGCTGCAGCCTGTTTTGCTGTGGAGCGTAACAGTCCTGACCCTCTTCCTGAGCTGTGTGGCTGGGATTGAGGGCTCTGCTTCAGCGCATCTAGGACAAACGTCTGCCGCAGCACGCTGTGGTTCTGTGGAAACTCCTTGCAAATTCTCTTCTCTTTAAATATTTGCAGAACAAGACTAGATGCACCTCGATTGGAAACAAAATCCCTGAGTAGCTCTGTGTTACCACCAGGTTATAACTCTGACCGTCTATCGGGAAGCAACCGGGACCAGATCCTGAAACCAAAGCGGTCCCATCGCAAAGCAGATCCGGATGCTGCTCACAGGTAGGATGATCTCTCCCAAGAGCAATGTTTTGGATGGTATCTCTAGGTCAGCGCATGTCTGAGGTTCCTGGCCTCTGATGAGAGAAGCTGCACAGCGCGCTTCAAAACATCTGGTTTGCACCTCCTGGGTGCTTTCTGTGGCGTACAGATCTGTTTTATCAGAATGAGGTTCTTTATACGTTCCTCCTAGGCTTGCGGAAGCTAAGCTCTGGCTGTAAGCAGCTTACATTGTTTATCCTGTGAGTGGCATAATGAAGAAGCAATAGGTTTGGCTGGCTCTTGATAATGCAGTCATTCAGAACAATAGTTTCCCTGCAGCTAATTATTTTTGACCTCTATTGCCAAGCAACCTGTGCAGCTGTGTTAAACTATATTATGAAAGCAGTCTTGGGAGAAAATGTGAGGTTTTGCTATGTGGGAAAGGGGAAGGCCTTATTGGGAAGCTTCTCAGACCTGTTTTGGTTCCAGAGCTGTGCATATGTATTTTTGTGTGTGTAACCAGACTGTGTGAATGCGTAAACCTGACCTTCAGGGGAGCTGCTGGCTGAGGTTTCAGACACCTTGAGCTCTGCAGCAAGGCTTCCCTTGAACACCACCTTGCTCTGTGTGAACGTACCGACAGCTGTGAGTGATAGCCAGTCTGCCAGCTGTCATGCAGTATTTCTGGTATTCTCCAATTCCAAAGCTTCCTGAGGATGGAGACTGCGTTCTCTGCACGCTGTGTGAAAACCAAAAGCTGGCTTGGTCCCGAGGCTTGGCCGCTGTACGGTCCCGACCCATGTTTCAACCTGTCCGGGAGGGAGGAGGGTGGGGATGGCTTGTTTATGAGTGGTGTTCATTCACCTGGACTTAGACTGCCTGGGAAGATAGATCAAGAAGAGAAGCTAGTCTGCAAATGAAAGCTTACCTCTGAGCATGCAGTGGGCTGGTGTATGATTAGAGGAGCAATCATGCAGGACAAATCTGCAGATCCGAGAGACCTGTTTTTCAGCCTGATGTGACCTTATTGAGGTGGGGGGGCTTGTATAGACTCCTGCAGCAGATGGGTATCAAAAACATGTTTTTCTCTTCCTTTGGCCTCAAAGACTCCAATGCAACTTAGGTAAATAGCACGGATGTCAGATTAGCAGTATCTTAGAGGAACTCGGCAGTTGTCACCTCGGATAAAGTAAGTGGTCTGTGCAGCCCACCAGTCTAGTCCTACTATGAAGTGATGGCAGGTGAGAGCAGAGGCAGCTTTGCAGAAATAACAGTTGCACTGTGCTAATGCTTGAGACAACTAGTGAGAGGGGAAAGGAGTTTGGACCTGTGGTTTGATCCTGCACCACAAGCACCCCAGCAGCTTAAAAAAGGAGCTCAGCTCTGTGCTGTGAGCTCTGCTGTAGGAGAGACAGACCCCTCTGCCCAAGGGATCTATCTTGGGGCCACAAGCTGCACTTAAAAAGAGGTGACTGAGCTGTTTGGACGTGTTCCTGGTGGAGATAAAGACCAAAACTTGCCCTGGGAAGGGGAAGGACTTCCATGGTCAAGACAAAGGTCTCGGCCTCCCCACAGGAGGTGCAACTTGGTGATGTGCTCCTGCTCTGCTGCGTGCCCAGTACTGGGAAAGCAACGTGGAAACAGTCAGTCATATAACTCAAAGGATGCAAAACTGCAGATAGTGTTTGCACAAGGAATGCCTAAATCCTGTTGTGGATGTGCTCTCACTCCCTCTTTCTCTCTCTCTCTCTGTAGGCCACGGATTCTAGAAATGGATAAAGAGGAGAACAGGCGTTCAGTCCTCTTACCAAAACATAGGAGACGGAGCAACTTCAGCTCCGAGAACTATTGGCGAAGGTCTTACGAGTACACGGAGGACTGTGATGAGGAAGAGGAGGATGGCAGCCCAGCCAGGAAAGTTAAAATGAGACGACACTGAGGATTGCACTTTCCAGGCTCGTGGAGCTGATGAGATTGGCCTCCAGTCTGTGAAAACTTTCTCCTCCCTCTGGCTATCTTCCATCTAGCTTCAGTTTTGGTTTTTCCTTTCAGGCTGAAGAGTAAACAGGAAGGATCTAGCAATTTGTTTTTATGAATGGAGGAATGCTGAGACATATGTAAGGAAGGAACATGTCCAGTGCACATGGTGTCCTGAGTCATGGGTCAAACGGGCATCTCTCCCTTAGGAAGCAGATAAAGTTATGCCAGGCTGTCTGTTGGGATTTCTTTTGAAAACACCAAAAAGTTTAACTGTTTCATTGCGCAAGATTCAAGAATTGTATTTTTGTTTTTTGCTTTAACTTTCTTCCTTTCCAAATGTTCTAAATATGATGTTTGACCCCAGGAGCTGAAACTCTCTGTGGTGGTCTCGTATTCCTTGCTTCACCAAAGGGCTCCTTGGTCTGCTCTTACCTAGTTGTTGTTGGGTTGTGTTTTAAGGGTGCCCTGCAGTAACTGGAAGTTTGAAGCTTTGCAGACCCCTCTTGCGTTTGATTTTGAAGGGTTTAGGACATTTTTGTTGCACTTTAGTAGCAGTTTTAAATGCCATAGGTTTCCTTTCCAGTCCCTTTTCCCAAGCCAGCATGGGCTCACAGCTTTGTGTCCCTGTGCTGCTCTCTCCGAGAAGAATGTACTTGAGCTCTGGTTTCTCGGTGCTGGTCTGACCGGGGATATATTTTGGTTGAGGAGGGAGGAAACATGGCTGGTTTCAACTGAGGCTGGCCCAGCATTGGCCCGAGGTCCATATTGGAGCCCCGGGGCTGCTGAGTAACCGACCGCATTGAGTACATGCTGCTTCCCAGAGCTGGAGATAGCAAAGAAGAGTAGGAGAGATGCTGTGCTTGGGAGGATGCTTGGCTTGAGAAGAGCTGTCCTCCGCTGCCAGGGAGGGGGGCTGGCTTTTAGCCCCCTGCCTCTTTTAGCTGGAGAGAGTTGAGGTGGTGTGGCATCACATCCCATCCCAAGGGACCGGCGCTGCCATGGCCTCGGAGGAGCCAGGCAGCTTGGCTGCAGTCTGTCCCCTCCGAGGCTGGCTCTGGGAGCGGGGATGCTGCAAGGGTCTGGTTTGGCCCCAGTTCAGTGCATTCAGCAGCAAGTGCTGCGGGGATTGCCCGCCTCCTCCCGGCTCATTCCTGCCTGTATTCCTGGGGTAAGGAGTTTTCTGGTTGCTACAGAAAATACTGAGAAGAACTGGGCGTTTGGCCCCACGGAGTTCATGTTAGAAAGTCTGCCGCCTTCCTCCGCTTTTCCCACCCAGTTTGCATTAGCTCAGACCGAAGCCTCAGTGTTTTCAAAGTTTGGGGCCCAACACCATATTTAGAACTGTACTTTTAAGAAACTTCCTCCAATTGATTCTTTGAACCCAAGTGTTGGCAGTTGTAAGGAGTAGTCTTATTTTTAAATTTTTACTGCTTTGCCCTTCCTCAAATTGTAGTTTTTCTTAGTGTTGTGTCCCCCACACACTTCATGGTCTGCACGCTTGGCAATAAAAAGATGTAATATATTTTGAAACCCGTTTGCTGCTGTCTTGAGGGGCTCCCAGTCAAAAAAAAAACCCAAACCCAGGCATTGTTCCCCAGAGCGCTGTTCCATGGCGATTGAGCACGTTTGCTGACATCTCGGTGTCCTTTTCCATCTCGCTGACTTCCGCAGCTCCTGCCGCTCGCCTGTTGTTGGGGTTACTGCTCAGGCTGGATCTAGTGGTCATATTAGTGCAAAGGAAATTACTGCCACCTTCAGCGCTGCTGGTCTGCTGGGGGTTTGTGGGTGAGGCCCCCAGTGCCTGTCCCTGGTTCTATTTATCCAATTGCTTTCCTGGCAAGAACCCCCATCGGCTTGGTGCGGAGGTACGGGCACAGCCTTGCGGCCAGCCTTCAAAAGAACCTGTCTTGTCTGCCCAGAGATCTGAAAGTTCATGCTTCTGCTGCTTCTGAAACCTTTAAAAAGCCATTTTCAGACCACACTTTGCGTTTGAAGTTGTGTTCCTCACCCTCCCAGCTTTCTGCAGAGAATCCAGGCTAGCTCTTGGCTACAAACGCCTAGTTTTGGAAAGCTTGGCATTCCCCTGATAGCAAAACCACACACAGGGAGCAGCGATCTCTTCTCCTTATGGCTGGTGCAAACATCTCCAGCAAGCTAGAGACCTGCTGGCAGGATACCTGGCGATGACTGTTTCTAACTGTCTTTCTGGATTCATCCTGGATGTGCCCCGTGCCCTCCCCAGTGGCAGGCTCTGCTGTGGGTGCTGCTGATGGTGGCAGTAGTTTCTGCCGGAGGTCTCTGCTCTGCCACAGCCTGCTCTCCCCCTCTCCCCCTCCAGCTCCCAATTTTACTCCTACCTCTGCAATACGGATACTGTACCCTGGTGTCTCGACTCAAAATGAAGCTGGAGGCAACTTGCCTTAGCAGGGCCACTTCCCAGAGCAGGACTCCCATGGGATGAGGCATTGGCGCTCTCTCTGCTGAAGGCTGAACAAGTGAACAAGGCATCCTGAGCTCTTGCCTCTAGCCTGGTACCAACCATCCCCTCATCCTGGTCCTTGTGCAGTCTGTACATGTGCAGGTATCCTTCCTCTCCTGGTTTGTTTTGGTATTCCTGCGTGCCACAGTCAGGAGCTTTCCCCTCCTTCCTTCCTTCCCCCCTGCCCTGCATCTGCGCAGTGGGTCTGAGCTGGCAGCCGTGGCTGGAGGAGCTCCTTGCCAGAGCCGCTCTCTAGCTGCCGTCTGTTCTTGTGTGTGCTTGATTTTCAACCTGACTGGTTGGGGCTTGACATCTTGGAGAGAGTGGGACACAACCGGTCTGAGGCATAGCATCTCTTGAGCGAGGAGTCCCCAGCGTGTAGGCAGGCCATCTTCCCCACTTGTACAGACATTTTTCTATACACACGGATGTATATGTGTAGATAACATGGTTTTTTAACTCTTTTGCACTGAACAACATCGAAGTGAAACCTTGGTTTGAAACCAGAAGACACATTTTCACATGGATCCAGATGTCTAGATCCCTTACCGTAACCTGTCTGGTAAAACTGGCTCAGAAATGCTGGTGATGCCCATACCTGTTCTCTGTTGCTGACTGTTGGGCTGCCTGCAGGCTTCAGGTCAGGCTGGGGACATGGATCTGCTGTGGAGGATGGAGGGTGGGGAACCCCATTCTGGAGGCAAAGCTTCTCCCCATCTGCTCCACGGGACAGGTTCGTGCACAGACCTGACCTGGTCAGCTTTGTCGTGTCTGTCTTGTCTGGCCGCATGGTCCACCCTCCTCTCCATCCACCAGCAGCGTGTCGTTCATGTAACCTGCTCAGCCCCAAACTGGGAATAAGGCTACGTCCAGTGTGACGACCCCGCGCACCCAGACCTGCAGCCCAGACCCTTTCCTGAGGAAGGGAGGGGAAGGTGGCGTTTGTCCCCGCTTTTCTGCAGAGAGCAGGAGGAATTGCATTTTGTTACCGCATCTTGACAAGACTTGGTGATCCAACTGAAGCTCTTGCATCACTCCCGTGGGCTGTAGGAAGAGAAGGGAGGGCTGTTTGCTGGCGGTGAGGGGTGAGCTGGCCTAGGGAGGGGCTGACGGGTCCCTGCCCGGCTGGGCTCGGCAGGCAGGCTGCCTGCACCGGGGGAGCCTGGCTT